CTTTCTTTTATTCCAAGCCACCTGGTTGTCTCTCATATATTAGCAGTAATGAAATATTCAAACTTGTTATATCTGTGAGACTTTCAGCACTTCTACTACCTCCAGCTTTTCTTTAGTTTCTTTCTACAGTGGCAATTATATTGGCTTTTAATTTAATTTGCTGTATTATAACATATTATAACATAGTTGTTTACAAGGTAGAATATAACAGCAGGGATTGAGTACAGTGCAGGGGCACAAAGATGATGTGAGGCCTGGAACATCTCCCATATGAGGAAAGACTGAGAGACCTGAGACTGTTCAGACTAAAGAAGAGAAGGATGAGATGGGAATCTCATGATTGTGAACATCTGAAGGAGTCAAGTCAATGGGGGCAGACTCTTTAGTGCCATGCAGTATAGAACAAGGGGCAACAGGCAGAAACTGAAACACAGGAAGTTCCATTCAAACAAACAAACAAAAAACTTTATGGTCAGAGTGACAGAGCACCAGAACAGGCTGCCCAGAGAGGTTGTGGACTATCCTTCTATGGAAATATTCAAGACTTGTCTGGATGCCTTCCTGTGCAACATATTGGAAGGAACCTGCTTTCTCAGGGGTTGAACTTGATCTCTGGAGGTCCTTCCCAATCCCTATGATTCTGTGGTTGTGTGATTTAAAATGTGTGTATTATTTTTCTTTCCTAATGTAAAAATTTGTTGTATTTTCACATTGTGTAGTTGCATTTCTGTATTGAATTAACTGATACCACTTCGGATTAAGTACAGAGTAATACACATGTAAACATATATCTGGAATTAATATATTTTATAAAAACAACCAAACCTTTTGACTTAATGCAAAGAGGGCCTTACAAATCCATGTCAAACTATGGAGAAATCTCTATCATATTTTATGACATATGTTTTGTACGTCAGTAAAGTAGGTGACTGAATATCTTCTTACTCATAATAAAGAAGTTTGTCTTGTAGACAAAAGCAAGGATATATATACAGTTCTAGTATACCCTCTGCAGTGTATTCATAACTTCTGAGATTTTTATTGCCTGAATTTTATCTAAGTAGCTGTTATATAGATTAGAAGTTTTGAAATGTAGCTGAGAGGTGCTAAAGGTTCACAAATTGGACCACACTGGAGAATGAAAGGAAGAAAATAGTTCGTTGCATTTGCTCTTAATAGGGAATGTAAAAGTGCTTCCAGTGATTTATAAAATTTTCTTAAACTCATGATACAGGATTTTTTATTTGCTTGTTAAATATAGTTCCTCTAGAAAGAGACATACAGAAAATTTCCTGAACTCTAACACACTAGCATTTTGACCCTCTTCAGTATGCATGCTTGCCAGAGGGATCTGCTGTGTGCTGCAGTTTCTGAGAGCTGAAAGGCTTCACACGTACTGCATCCATTATACTCCAGATGTAATCAGCAAACTCACCTCGTCTTTCTCCTTTTAATTTCCACCTAGGGACTGTTTCAGTTTTCTCTCTTTTTCTGTTATGTGAGCCCATTAACTTTATTTTCTTTGCTCATATTGTTGTGTTATTCTGGCTTTCATACCACTCTTTTTGAGTTCTATTTCATCCCAATAGTTTTGGTTTCTGACAGAATAGTTGGTATTTAGAGCCTCTGAAGAAAACTCTGTGCCTCTTAGGGGCATGCAGAGTGTTAGGTTCCTTGGATGACAACTTTGGGCAATTGAGAGAAAATTCTGCTAGGGAACTTAGCTACAAACTATCCCTCCAAATTATTTCACTACCATACACACCTGACAGGTGAGTACATAAGTTCAATTCTGTGCTTCTGTGTACAGGAGACAGGTGTATGTCAAACACACACTTCATTAAGTCATTAAATAAAACCATCCTCACAAGTTAACAAAATCAAAGAATGGCTGATGTCAGAAAGGGCCTCTATGGATCATCTTGTTCAACTGCACCTCTTATGCAGGACCATCTAGAGCTAGTTGCTCAAGTCTAGGTCCTGATGACTTTTGAAAATCTCCAAGGAGAGGGACTCCACAACCTCTCTGGGCAGTTGTGCCAGTGTTCAGTCACTCTCAGAATAACTGATTCATGGAGTTGTTTCTCCCTCAGTGTAGGACTTTACATTTCTCCTTGTTATCTTCATGAAGTTCCTGTAAACTCTTTTCTCTAGCCTGTTGAGGTCCCTGTGGACAGCAGCACAACCCTCTGGTTTATCTGCCACTTTTCCCAGTTCTCTGTTATCTGAAAACTTGCTGAGAGTACACTTCACCCTATCATCCAGAACATTAATGAAGATGTCAAATAGGACTGTACCCAGACTTGATCCTTTGGGTACACTTCTACCTACTGGCCTTCAAACAGGTTTTGTGCCACTGATTACTACCTTCTGTGTCCTTTCCATTCAGCCAGTTTTCGGTCCCCCTCACTGTTTGCTCATCTGTCCCCTACATCAACAGCTTCTCATCAAAGATCTTCAAGGAGACAGTGTCAAAAGCCTTACTAAGATCTAAGTAGACAATGTCTACTGCTTCTCTCATCTGCCATGCCAGTCTTCCATCATAGATTATCAAGCTGGTAAAACATGACTTCTCCTCGGTGAATCCATATTGACTACTCACTGTCTTTTTCTCATCCTTCATGTGCCTGGAAATTGTTTCCAGGACTTGTTGCTCCATCACATTCCCAGGGACTGAACTGAGACTTACAAGCTGTTGTTTAACCAGGCAGCAGCTATGTACCACACAGCTGTTCACTCACTCCTCCCCAGTGGAAATGAAGAGAGAATTGGAAATTATTAGAGGCATCCCAGCATGTTGACAGCCTGACAGGGATTTGGGGGAACATCATTTGGGGGAATAGCGACTTTAAACAGTCAGAGATATTCTTCTTTTATAGAACCAGCATCCTAAATTACATGTAGTAAAGGGTATTCTGTTGCAATGAAAACTTGAATGTTCCTCAGAAAGATTTCTGACTCTAGCCACTATTGCCATTATTGAAGAAAAGTGATTTAAGCAAACCACAGAAATTAGAGTATTAGGCCATTTTCCTCTGAATAGTGAAGAAAAACAATAAATATATATTTGGGTTTTTTTGCTTGGTTCTTTAGAGAAATGGAATTACTCTTAAATGTTTGCCTGATTGTTTTCCAAGATCCTTCTAGAAATTCTAAAATCATGAGGTAATATTTATTTGTGATTATATTTATGTCAGTATTTGAATGTGAAATTAGCTAGTCAGTACTTCCCTATGTATTACTCACAGTCATCCAATTGTGTACTCTTTTCTCAACCAAGAGACTGATGGGTAGTTTACACTTTCTTCCTGTTTCCAAGGGATAGGTTTTTCAAGACAACGAAAAAAGATCATTTGGGAAAAAAAACTGACTTAGGTGACTTTAAATGAGTTTCTCAAGCCACAGATAAATACTCCAAGGAGAATCTTTCTGGAATAATGTAATGTACAGTACTAAAAATGTTTTCATTGACATACTGGATGGTTTTGAATTGCATGTACAGGTAAAAGTGGTGACTTGCTCTTGAGCAGCTTAAAACTAGCAAGAGTGATCCATATTCAATGGATACATTCTTTGCTTTGCATCACGCTTAAACAATATTCATTTTAAACGGATGGGTTCTTGAATGAAGTAATGAATTATAACTTTATTATAAAGAAGCAGGCTTGTGATTGATTTTCTTAATTTTCTTGATTGTCCGTAAATTAGCTGGATATCTAAGGTCATTTCATTCCAGAATTTACATTTCTAAGAATATTTTACAATTTCCTAGTTACTTTTATCTTTCTTCTTACATCTGTGTTTTCTCTAGAAAATTGGACTATAGAGGTTTTTTTCTAATGAAGTTTTATTCTTATTCTCTGTTCTTAAGCATTTCTGTCACCTCTCCTATAAAAGAAAAAGGAGTCATATTAGGAATCTAAAGAAAATGAGAAAAAAAATCACCATCTTTGACATCCTGCCATTTCTGAGACACATAAGACTGTTGTAAGTCAGCAGTCAGCTCACAGTCTGAGAATGGAAATAAGAAGAGTGTTTTCTCACTGCTCTCTGCAGGATCCTCTTTCAGCAGATCAGGGGTCAAATGCATTTACAAAACAGCAGGAGATAAATCTTTCATTGTTTTACTGTATTCCTGAGGATTATCAACTTTACAGACCCACTTGCTGCCCACTTGGAAACCCAAATGCAAAAAAAACTAAACTAAACTAAATTAAAATTAAATTTTTTTTTAAAAAAAAGCCTTTCATGTAATTTTGTCTTTGAGACTAATTAAAGTGCATAATGAAATGTGGGAAGCAAAAAATTTTCCCTAGTTTCTAGCTGTCTGATGTGTCAGCAGCAGGGGAGGTAATGAATTTCAGGATGGAGCCCAAACTGATGATAGTTTCTGGTAATGCAGGAGTAACATTTTGGCCTTGGAGTGTGGGAAATGCAGGATAAGCTAAACAATTCAGCAGTCTGTTAGCTTAAAACACTCTTTATTCTCTAATTGGAAGGATCATAAGATTCATTTTAGTAAAGGTTGCAAAAACAGTTACCTATTCCACCTGAACGTATGCTCTAATCTGCCAAGCAGACATCTCATGGTGCTGTGCAAAAGTTTCCCTTTTGTCCTATGGCATTATCTGTTCATCCCCAAGAAAGTGCTGTAATGATTTCAGTCAGCATATTTGTTATCTGCTATCACTGGTGAATTCTTGGAGATTTTATTGCATATGTTCTTTTGCTGTTGTCCTCAAATATCCAGTTAGGGCAGTAATGTCAGAAGGAGTTTAAAATGGAAACAGAAACCCTCAGTCATAGAATAAGGCTGACACATTCTAAAAATTGTGTAGTTAGTGGTAAAATTACCATGATGAGCTGCAGAATACATAGAAAATACAGTGTTTGGTTTTCTATCTGTTGCTTGGGATGAAAATTATGACTTAAAATCAATAGCATGTACATTGGCATTTTTTTCATTTCAGACTTTTATTTCTATTTTTATTGCATTACAGAAACTCAACTTACTGTATGAAAGTGTCCATTTCGCTGACGGTGGGTGAAAATGACACTGGACTCTGCTACAATTCAAAGATGAAATATTTTGAAAAAGCTGAACTTAGCAAAAGCAAGGAAATCTCATGTCCTGAAATAGAGGACTTTTTGTTTCCATTTAGGGAGCCTGAGATTCTGTGGTACAAGGTAAGGAATTCAAAAAGTTTTTGCCTTTCACCAGTATGCTGTCAATATTCTAATGATTTTCATGATCTAAATACTATGTGAAACTTTCACTGTTTTAGACTTTCTTAAGAGCAGGCAGAATGAAAGATACAAAAGAATGAGCTAGTCCCTCTTAGATGAAGAGGGACTCCGCTGCTTCCTTTGATAAATTTTAGGTTGGCAAACAAGTATCTGGTAACAAAAGAGATAAAGAATAAAAGTGTTATAGATCCAGTTTGGCTTGATGTTAAAGAAAAGCCATATGAGCTGCATATACAGCAACTGATTGTGCTGTATTAGAAGAAGCACTTAAGGATATTTCTGGAAACTTCAACATAAAATCTGTTTAGAAAAATGGGAATTGAATAACTATGTGCACATTTGTCTGAATGAATGACTTATTTAGCAGCATAAAACCCAAAACTTTTAAAAATTTGATCTGATACGTTAGAGTTTACTTGGAATTACCAGAGATTTGGTCGTTGGTACCTTTATTTCAATATTGTGTTCTTATTATCAGATTGTTACTTAAGGGTCAAGTCCCTGGAAAGTTGTTGCCTGTCGGTGGCTCACAAGAGCCTTGCAGAGCAGTCTCTTGAGTTCTGGATTTCTTGCAGTTAGCAGGAAATACTCAGTGCCTTTGTGCCATAATGCATACAATTTAACACCACTGAGCAGTTTAGTAAATCTGAAAATTAGGTTATGTATATTGTGTAGCATGCTCTAGTAGAATGTTCTGGTACCACTATGTGCTGATATGCATTCTAACTATGTTTTAAAAGTCTGATAATTGACTAAGTATAGTGCACAAGCATGTGTTATCTAATAAACAAAAACTTGTAATCTAGAAAGTTTCTGGCTAAATTTACTAGCAGCATATCTAAGAGGTATGTAACCAACTATTCGCTTATATTTATCTTGGATTCCATGTGTGTAATACAATACATACCTGAAGATGTATCAAATTTAAAACTGTATCTGGCTTCTAAAAATATCTCAAAAGATATTTGATTTTTACAAGTCATTTACAGCATTTATATGAACAAGTTGTAACATACTCTCATTTTGTTTAAATAAAAGGAGAAAATTTTCTTTGCAATCTCTAGCTACTTGTGATATAATGGTCATGGATTACATACATAAAGGTAATGGCAAATAATTAAATGAAATAGGAGACCCCCGATCAAAAGTAAAAGCAAAACTACCAAATAAATAAAATCCTTTTCTTTTTTGTTTTGAGAATGAGAAAAATATGTTAGTTGATAAAATTTTCAGTATTTTTTTCTTTTAAAATTTTACTTAACTGAACTGTATTTTGAGATATTTAATGTACGTAAAGTTCGTAACTACTTCTTGTCTGGCTTTCCCTTCTTCGAGCAGCATTATCAACAGTGGTTTGAGTGTAAGAACATAGTCACTGAATTGTTATGTTATCTTTAAACAGGAATGCAAGTCAAAGACATGGAGATCAAGTATTGGGTTTATAAAGGACACTCTTGTCATTCGGGAAGTTAGAGAGGATGACATTGGAAATTACACTTGTGAGGTAAAATATGGCATCTTTGTTGTCAGAAGAACTACGGAATTAACAGTTACAGGTAATCACAGGCTCTTACTTCATCTTATATGTAGAAAAAAATGTATAATTTTGTGATTAAACAAACCTAAGCATTCTGTGATTCTGTAATTTGAGTTGTGTGTATTTGAATCATTCTACCTACATAAGCCACTCTTGTTCAAAACTTTGCTGAGTGTGTGAATGGCTGATACATCAAAGTTGTCCTGAACACAGTAGTATGTGCAAAGTGATTAAATCTGAGTTTTGATCTACTGCAAAAGCTTCTGAATAGGTCATGTTTTTGAGTGGGAAATGTGGATAAGGATAACCAAAAAATAAGATCATTAAAGTCATCATACTTTTCCTTGTGGTTAAAAGCCTTAGCACATAAGAATCTCTGTAGCTCCAACCCAACTACAGCAGCTCTGATTGCCTTGGGGCATGACATGAGCTGTAGGTGTAAACCAATATCCCAGAAAGATCTGTGCAGCAAGGTAGTATAAATGTGGGTGTAGCATTTTTTCACTGGTGTTCTTTCCCAGCTTTCTGTGATTTATAATTCAAGGACTTCCTGATCTCAGTTGTCAATTAACTTATTTTCCATTAGTCCAGTTATTTTTTTAATTATTTATTCTCAGATTTAAAATTATTATGAGGTATCAAGTTCCAGTAATTATGTAACATAAATAAATTGTATGAACTCACAAGCAGCAACTGAATGAGATACATTTAATATTATCTCCATTTAAGACTACCTTACCAATATGTAAAATCCTTCATAGCTGAAAACAATGTATGTATCATAGTAGTAATGTGCACTACAGAATTATATGAAGATAGAAGCTACAGAATTATATGAAGAACATTAGCTTTTACATTCCTTACTACACCACAAACTTCATTTTTTCAAACAGAGAAAGAGTATGTGTATTTTTAAGTAAGGTAGAGAATTAACTTCTAGAATTATGGGATAGTATTGGAACACAGGAAAACATCACAGTCGATACAGCATAGTGAAGTTCTATAGAATCTTCCCTGAAAAAAGGGCAGAAAATGTATATGCCTGGGAAACTGGATGTGAAATAAATTTGTGTGGTTCACAAAGGTGCTTGCAGATATAAGCACTTGCTTGAAGTATCAAAAAAAAAAAAAAAAAAAACCAGGAAACAAATCTTAGAGAAGGATTTTATGGGCTATTGTTGACTATTTAAATAGTTAAACTAGTAATCACAGTTATGATATGTAATAATTTCTTTGTATGGTAAAAAGTTTGCTTTTGTGGTGAAAAGTTTGCTCTTTGTTTTGATGTATCCCATTTACTCTACAATATCAGAAATTAAAGTGAATTATGGTTTGCAGTTTTCTTCCATTAGATCAGTCTGGAAATCATATTGCTTATGTTGTTTTGAGAGAATTCTGGTGATCAATCATGTTTATTTAAGTTCAGTATCCAGGATCTCTTCATAATTTTTCCATTGTATGGAATTGATTTATTTCGTCAGTACAGACAGGCAATTACTGCTCAGTGATTAAGCTCATGGTAAACATCCATATCCATATAGAGTCCTCAAGAATTTGATTTACACCAGAATGAGGTTGTCAATTACTTCTGCAATATATGATGTGTAGACTAAAAGAGTACATATTTTTTCAGTCTTCAAGTTAACCTTCTGTCTCTGCAGTTGGTGCTCCACTGCCCAGCAGTATTTCAAGCAGACTTAAGTCTGAGAAAATGGAGGAAAAAAAAGCATTACAACTAGATGTTGCTATCTGTAATAATAGTTTCAAAAAAATAATTCAGCCCTTGTGGTGTAGGTAGGAGTTCAGTGATTAATGTTTAACTAGATAGAGACAGAAAGAGACTTGGCTGATTTTGATGTGTTAAAAATAAGTGAATGCATAATGAGAGAATTATATAGTTTCCATCGTGCAAATCCTGGCAAATTTGAAGACAACCTCCACAGAAGTAAACTACTCAAATAGCATTGTAGTTCTTCATACCATTTTTATAATATTATGGGATGAACTGTATAGTAGTTTTCCTCTGTAGTACAGATTTAGTAAAATTTAGTAAGTAACTTTATAGAAGAGATTCAGGTCTTACATGCTTGCCTTATGCTTTGTCTCTGTGCTGAAATACAATTTGAATTGCACTGGAAATACGTTGGGGAGTATACAGTGTAAGTGGATTTTAAAATTTATTAAAGAAAGAAGAAAACTTGTTAATGGCAGCAATGTTGCACTAACATTTATAAATAATACACAGTATCTTCAAACATTGCATACCTGTTCCTTACCAAAAGTATACACTTCAATTCCATTCCAAAATATGATTTCTTCTTATCATATGCATCTTTCAGATTTTTTTTTTGTTATTATTCTTTTTTGGTTTTTTGTTTGCTTGCTTTAGGATAAATCTTTTTTCTTTGCTTTTCGTTCTTTTGAAAATCAGAATCTCATATTGAAAATACATGATCATCTGTATGATTTAAATTAATTTTCTTATTATGCTATTACCTGATTTAGAAAATATCTAGTTTAAAAAATACAAACTATGCACTGATTATTCTAAATTGAAAGAACCAGCATAATTGGTGGTTCTTGGATTATGGCTATGTAATTACATATTTTAAAAAATCCTAAATGCACTAAAACATTTGTTGATATCTATACCTGCAGACTGCCCAACATTGCCCAAAAGAAAAATTTTTTTCTTTTATATGTGGATTTTTAATTAAAGCATACCTGACATTCTTAATTATGGGACAGGATCACATTTTAACAGCATGATATCAGTATTAATTTAGACACACTGAACATCATAGGTAAAAATAATTTCCAACAGTGATTAATTTTCATTAAACGCTATGTCTAATAATACTGGATTATTTTTTTTTATTATTTTTTGTTGTTGTTGTTGTTACTTATACTGCTAAAACCTTCACAAGGACAAATTTTTGGTACATTTTCATTCAGGTGGAATGACGTCTGGTCTTTGTTTAAGAGTGTATGTGTCCTCATTGCAATATCACATGGTGATACTCTTCTGGATGAATATGATAAAGCATTCTGACCCCATCAGCCTTACTTATTCAATTCATCCATAACTTTTTTGGTTATAAATATTTGAAGTTTTTTTTTTTTTTCATTCTGTTAGAAATTAGAAGTTCTTATACCCTGTAGAAGGAATCAGAGCTAATCATTAGGTTCCTGTCCAGAGAAACCACTTACTGTGTTTGCTCATTGGTTGCTCTTCTTCAACATATCTCCTTCTGGAATGAGCACAGATTTAGATTTAGAGGTTAGAGCATCTTCAAAATCTAATAACACTAAATTTAGTATGAGTTGATATGATCATTTTTTTATTATTTAAATTCTGCCTATTTGGTTTAAATATTTCTGTAACAACCTTGCAATTGCTAGTTAATTCTTTCCCATTTGCTATCTGTAACTTTCTTCTCTAGACTTTTAGACAAAGGAGTGCTATCTGTCTGCTTCACAGGATTTCTTAATGTTTGGGATTCGTTGCACAAGCTTTGCCTTTTTTGCTTTCTGACAGAATTATTCTTAGCATAGTAGAAAATCTTAAATGATGATAAATGTTTATTGCAAAATGCTTGTATTGATTGTTTCCAGTGCTGTTGCACTTTCTCCTTCAAAACATTCAGATACAGAAAAGGTGCTGTAATAAGCCTTTCCTTCTTTATTTTTAGCTGGTGCTAAGTGCAAAGAGCTAATAGGGTTGTTTTCCAAGCATTTAGAGCTTGAGAACAGACTCTGCTGGTTTTCTGCAGTTAATGATAGGGAAGAACTATTTTGGATGCACCGAGCCCCTCTTTGCTAGAGCTGATCCTAATAATTATCAGAGCTGATGTTCATTACTTTTGTTCATCATAAATTTAATTCAACTCTAGAAGATATTCAGGGTGAAATTCTATTTATCAGTATTATTCTGTGCAAAGACTATATAAAATATAAAGCAAACAACAGATCCATTATGAAAGCATCATGTTTGAAATACTGACCATGCATTTTTATAATACATAAAGTCCTGTTGGGCTTAACAAATTGGGTGGGTTAGGTGTCGGGTTTTTTAATTAGAAATGAGTGATCTACTTTTATAGTGGAATCATTTTTGTGTGGCTGAAAACAAGGTTCTAAATTAATCACCTGGGTGCATTTGAGTAATAACAATCAGAATATTTGATTAAAACATTCTCCGTAAACATTCATTGAAGTTATTGATTGTAAATGGGTTTAGTGGGTATTTCAAAACCATCCTTAACTAACAACAGCAACAAGGAAAGCTATATGGCTAAAGCTAATTCATGCATAATACACCTTCTATAGCATTTTTCATTGTAGCTTTATTTTTCAACTTTTTATAAAAATAAAAAATTCCTTCAGGATATGGCTAGGATTGCTAGCTCTCCTTATACAAGTTTATTTTAATGTGTATTTCCCTTACAATAACCCAGGACTTCTTTTCTGCCTGGTAGGGTATCTTCAGAAGAAAAGATCAACCTCTTGTGGCTTTTTTATTTATTTTTGATGGTATAGCTATAGGTCAGTAGCTATAAAATTCTAATATGTAGTAGAAATCTTTGTCTTTACCACATTAAAGTAAGATTCAGCCTTAAGATGCTCATTTTAACCGTCCTTGTTCTTGTGCATCATGATCCTACATTTATCTCATAGTGTTAATGAATGGAAAACATATCTAAGCTTTGTAATATTTGCTTAGACAGTTGCTACGACACTATTTAATTGATGCTGCAGTCATGACTTCTGTTCCATTACTGTCATGTACACCCTACTGAAATCAGTGAAAGTTGAGAGGAGTTTTTAGCATGCATTCATTGATAAATTCTTCTTCTTTGACGATGAAAACAAATAATTAATTAAAATTAGCTACTATTTAACAAGTATAGTGTGTTCCTGTGTATACAATTGCTACAATGATGCCATTTCTGCTTGTTTCTGTTGGTTATGTCATTATTAGAAACCTGGTGACTTTTTAATAATTTATATTGAATTACT